GTGAGTGTGTTGGTGTGTGTGTGTTCACTCGTGTGAAGTGTGTGAGTGAGTGTGAGTGTGTTGGTGTGTGTGTGTGTGTTCACTCGTGTGAAGTGTGTGAGTGTGTTGGTGTGTGTGTGTGTTCACTCGTGTGAAGTGTGTGAGACGAGCGTGAGTGTGAGTGTGTTGGTGTGTGTGTGTTCACTCGTGAAGTGTGTGAGACGAGCGTGAGTGTGTTGGTGTGTGTGTTCACTCATGTGAAGTGTGTGAGACGAGTGAGTGAGTGTGAGTGTATTGGTGTGTGTGTGTGTGTGTGTTAGTGTGAGTGTGTTGGTGTGTGTGTGTTCACTCGTGTGAAGTGTGAGACGAGCATGAGTGAGTGTGTGAGTGAGTGTGTTGGTGTGTGTGTTCACTCGTGTGAAGTGTGTGAGACAAGCGTGTGAGTGTGTTGGTGTGTGTGTGTGTTTACTCGTGTGAAGTGTGTGAGACGAGCTTTGCTCACAGATGCTGCAGTTAAACTGATTGCTCTGAAGCTGCTGAACATTGTGCGTTTAGTGAGAAACACGCTGAGAGATCTGCATGTGAATGTGTTTTCCTGCACTAATGCTGCTGGAATTACTGTAATTATGAGATGGCAGCGCGCCTGTTTCGTCACACTCAGATGTAATTTGTTTCTAAGGCAAAGCATCTGTGTGCGGGTTTGCTGATATTGACAGAAAAATGCTCCATCACTGCATTCATTTACACTGAGAACTAATAAAGCAGCAGAAACACTGACTATAAAAACAGAAATATGTGTAAAACATGTTACCTGATGATCTGTGACTGTTGAGTCCGCTGCAGTTTTAATTTTTACATCATGAAATAAAGATAGAGTGGAAAGACAGGGATCTGCTTAAAGCAATACTTCAGCCAAAAATGAAAGTTTGCTGAAAATGTGCTCACTCTCAGTCCATCCATGATCAGGATGAGTTTGTTTCTTCATCAGGTTTGGAGAAATGCAGCATTGCATCAGTGTCTCAGCAATGGATGCTCTGCAGTGAATGGGTGCCGTCAGAA